CATACACCAGAGGAGCTACAAAGCTTGAGTCTGCACAAATTGATGGGAGAACCCGTAACCAAATCACATTACTCCCCTCAAGAGCCAACTTTTAGAAGGCTAGAAAGCATAGATAATGAGACCGACACATGATACAGGAGGGTACATGAAGCATGACCAATGACACAATAAAAGATACTCCCTAGTCCTTAATACAAGACTTATTTAGCTAATTTGATTAGATTAAGAAGTTAGGTTAAGTTAGTTAATTATAAGAAATACGACATATTTTTTTCTAAAATACCATAATCATTTTCTTTAATATCCTGCCTCTCTTATTTACTTGATTATGGTTGATGGAGTATCCATAAGGGTAATTTAAAAAAAATTGATAAATATGAGAAATAGGTCTCATATTTAGGACTAAAATTAACTTAATAATTAGGTCTTATATTAAGGATGGGGAGTAATAACTTAGATAGATTCTAATAATATTCACGGTTAAGTTAACTGAAAAAAAAATGGAACACATAAAAATTTCACTGTTCAGTGTTGCAATACTGACTTTTCAAAACATAATACCCAAGCCCATCTTACAGACCAACCACCCCCCGGGGGGGGGGGGCGCCAAAAACACAAACACCCTCGGGCGGTGGTTTGCTGGGAAAAGAATACTCACATAGCGCATACTGAGGATCCAAATTTGCAAGCTTTGCATATGCAATATCCTGTGAAAAAGCAAATGAATTAAGTCCAAAACTAGAAACCAACGTTAAGGTGACACTGATATGAATAACATCACTCTACATCCAGACCTTACCTGAGGAATACAGAGTGAAGCAATGGTAAGTCCGGAGACAAGATCACCTCTGAATTTATGAAAACTGTAATCTCTTCCCCATTCAAGGATTGGAAAAACTGCTTTAAGTCCAAGAACAAGCTTCCTTGATATTGGCTTGTCGTTAAGATGGCATAAAGGATGGTCTGAGAAGAAAGTCTCCCTCGCTGCATCTTTAATCCCCTTCACAAGCTTTTGCTTTGGAGGAGCTCCCACCTTGTGAATATGCAAGGTATGATCTCCTTTCACGTGACTTGAAGCATTATTACTTCCCATTTCCTCCACTACCTTCATTTTCGCAAGCTCGGGCTAGGCCTGAGACGATTACCGGCAGTTAAGACCCGAAAATCAAACAGATATTATGCAGACAAGTGAATCATGTTAGCAGAGCCCTCTGTTACTCTCAGTCACCTTCTTTAAAACCTATAGAGTGTCTGCATTTTGTCATGTGAAGTTGGTGATTTGAAGAATCTTCCTTTTATCAAACACTAAACGAACATGAATATAGATGAAGATATAAGCTGTCTGAGATATGAACTTTTATGTATTTGTGGTGATAGAAATGACAAGAACTGGCTGGCGGGGTCAAAGAAGTAGTGAAACACACTCACATTATACGACAAGGTTTGACCTCGTGGAACAAACAAGATTCATAGGCTAATGATTTCAAGAACAAACAGCACTTGGATGTGTAATTGATTAGGATTTGATATTACACTTTAAACTAGGGGCACATGAGTCAAACGATGAAAAACACAGGGAAGGATGGGAAACCAAGAAGAGAAGAAGAATTTGAGTTTGGATTCGCCTAGCTAGATAAGAATCTGGGATTACTTGCTCTCTTCTCACATATTATTCTTATGATCATCATCATAATTATGATTATTAATCTCTACTGACTTGAGAAACGCACATCTTTAGTGTTAGTGGTTCAAATAATTTAGGCTAAATTGGTTCAAATGAAGGTGGCTGTGATTGAGTCCAGGTTCAGAAAATGCTCGTTCAATGAATGAACTACCTGATCTGTAATCTGATCTTTGAATTGCCACGAACAAAGGCAAGGAAGGGGAAGAATTGCATTTTCTTTGTTTAATTGAACAAGTGTTTGGTTTATTTGATCCGGCAGGAGCTTGCCAAGGAGCACTTATAGAGACATTGATGATAGACACCAACTAAATCCTTGCATTTTCAACAACATTTAGATTTGCACGTTTGCTTCGTCCCCCCCCCCCCCCCAAAAAGAAAAGATGCGCACATTTGTGGGTTATAAGTCGCGTTTATATTAATTAGATTTTGTGTAATATATGTTAAATACTGACGTATTAATTGATATTATTCTCAGAAGTTAGTTGGGAGAAAAAAAGATTGTTGCATGAAAAAAATGATGCTTGACGTGATTTTAGGAGTGATTAATTTTTTATCCAAAAGCCAATTTAAAGTTAAAGCAACTTTTTCTTTAAATTTAAACATTCTAAAACTGATTTTTCACTATATCATTTAAATAAAATGACTTTTTTTATAAAAATTTCTTTAAACACAAATTGCAATTACATTAATGACATTTGTTTACTTTAGTTTGTGAAAGTTATTAAAATAAAAGTCATTTGTATCAATCAATAGTAGAAAAGGACAATAGACAATAACAATAAAATATATATATATATATATGGAATAATGCTTTCTATAAATGTTATACCCATCCTTTGATTTCTAACCCTTTTTTAAGAAAATATTTTGCGTGAAGGAATTAATGGAGCCCATAATTACGTAGGAAAAAGACGGTCCTCTTCGCCTTAGAAAATGAAGCCTTTTGACATTAAGGAGGAAATGTTACTAAGCTTAGGGTGTTTGGGTATCATGAAAAGTATTTTTTAAATCGAAATAAACTTGTCTACAATATTATTTCGTCTATTGTAAAAATACTTTTAAAATCATGATTTTGATTTCATCCAAATACTAATAAAATGTGTAAACTAAATATACTTTTTTTATGATTTTTTATTAAAATATAAAAATATTTTTATTTTTAAATTTCAATTTTTTAATTTATTAGAAATAATGTTAATATAACTTTTTACTAAAATATTTTTCATTAATTCAGTTATTCAAATACATACTAACTAGAATATAGAATAACTTTTCATTTGAAAAAATCTGTATATGTTTGGAAATTGGAAAAAATATGATTTCAATAAAATTTAAAAAATATAAGTAATTTCCTGGTAATGAAAACCACCCTATCTTAATTAATTTACGCTGACCCTTTGTTGAAACCAAAAGAAAAAATTTAACTCATCCGTTCACAAAGACTGGAAGACACCAGCTCAAAAACTGATAGTAATAAATTGATTAAAATGCAAAGCAAGGCGCCATTATCTCAAATAATAAAAAATAACCTCAAATTGAAGAACTCTCTTCCAAATTAAATCTATCAGGTTCATAAGAAGTTATTAATTTCTAAGTTTCAGCTCCCAAAGTAGTTAATAAATCATCCACAATTTGTTACTATATTCTTTAAAAGTTAAGATATAGACAAAAACTCATCTCTCTCTTCTGTATTCTTAATAACTCTCTTATAACAAGGGAAACAAAAACATGCTTTTGTTGCTTTGCATAAAGCAAGATAATAACGGCATTTTTTATTTTTAATATAAGAGCTACTTAGTTAATTTGAGTAAATTAAAGAAGTCAAATAAATTAGTTAACTATAGTAAATGTGGCATAATCTCCCTAAGATACCTTTATTATAATAATGGCTAAAATATAAAAAAATCTTCTAAAGTTTGAGTCAGTTGTGTATAACGTTCCCCATCTTTAAAAGTTTAAATTAAAGCTAAAATATATATTTGGTCCTTTAATTTTGTACAATGTTTCAATTTGGTTGTTTAACTTTAAAAAACATACACTTGGTCTTTTAACTCTAAAATCATTAGGCTTTAATAATTATTTTTGTAACAATCATGAATGTTTTTGAAATTAAATTTAATATGTCAGTATTTGAGAATATTTTATCAATATTTTAGATCTTAATGTCATCATTTTTTTAAAAAAAAATTTGGGGTTAAAAGACTAAAAGTATACTTTTTAAAATTAAAAGACCAAATTGAAATTTTGTACAAAGTTAAAGGATAAAATATATACTTTAGCCTTAAATCAAAGATCATAATATTTCATGTTTTAATTATTAACTCCGTCGTTAAAATTACTGTTAAAGTTAATTTTTTTTTTTCATGTCAGCCTCTTTATATTTTTTATTATACAACATGTCATTTTAAAAATAACACTAACGATTAAAATTACTTGAAATGAAAAAAATTATTACTTTAAAAATATGAATACTTAAATATTAAAAAATATTTATTTGATTGAGTCCCTTTTAAATTAAAAAATTATAAATTACTTAAAACTAAGTGTTATTTTTAAATGACATGATGTATAATAAAAAATATAAAAAAATTTGACATGAAAAAACTGTTAACTTAAGGATAATTTTACAGCAAGGGGTTAATAATCAAAACATGAAATATTATGATTTTTAATTTAAATTTTTAAAAATGAGGAAAGTTATACAGCAACTAATTCAAAGTCCATGAAAATTTTGTGTATTTTAGCTTAATATTAAAATATGTATTGGTTTACAAGTTAAGTAAATTAATTTAAGGAAAAATGGTAAACATAAGACAATATGGACTAAGGTTTATATTTTTACTAGGATCAAATTAAATGTTTAATTTTTTTACCAGAAAATTCAATGTTTAATTAGCTTTTATATGAGAAAGTGAAAGTATTAATAAACAAACACAGAGATGTGCATGGAATATTTAAAAATAAATTTAAAAAGAAAAGGAGAAATATTTTTTTTTTGGGTCAAAAGAAAAGGAGAAATATTTGAATCTTACCTTGTCTCTAATGTTTGAGAAGCTCTCGTATTCCTCCTCAATGCCTTTCAATCTTTCATGTGCTTTGGATTTGAATATAAATAGGGTGTCATATATATATATATATATATATATATATATATATATGAGATCAAGTTAATAAGGACACGATTATTTATAGTATTAATTTATTATTATAGAGTGATTTCGCGTAACAATAAAAAGCCAATTAATATAAAAAATAATTTCTTAACCAAGTCCTGCTCCTAGAGAGGGAAAAATATCAAGGATTCATTTTCAAACTATAGCTGGATGATGTTTGCTTACACTATGCATAGCTATTGAAAATAGACAACTTATTTTAGAAACTCTTCAGCCATGAAAAAGTTAATGAAAAAATAATCTTTAAATAGATGATGGAAACGTTCGGTTTTATTGTATAATTCAATTCTAATTATCATAAAACAACAAAAGTCAATTATGCAGTTTGGCTTTATGTTCTTCATTTGGACGACAGTTTAAATTAATTTTTACATGCATTCATCTCACACAACCCAACAACTCTACTAATATTGTTTTGCCATCCTTTTTTTCCTTTTCTTTCTTTTTGTTTTTTTTTTTCCAAGTTTAAGTTCGTCAATACTGATTGACCTCAATCATCTCCTTCTCCTTTTGCGTTTTCTTCAGCTTCTCCTTCAAAAACCAACATCAGAAAACAAGAAATCTTTGGATGAACACAAACTCTCGCAGATCCACAAACACCACAACCAGTCCAAGCACTCCGCTGCGATTTCAGCCATGATGAGAAGTACTTTTGCATTTGTATGACCGGTATCCAGTTCAATCTTTAACAATAAATAACGAAAAAGAGAGGGTTATAGTTAGAGGCTCTAACGGTCATATTGAGCTGAGCAAGGTAAACATAAAGAGCGTCAATAATAGTGTTGGCAGTGGCAAATTCATAACAAATCCAAGAAAAACTAGCATCTTTAGTAAAGGAGTTTGAAACCATAATGAGTGTTAATTGTATTGGCACCATAAAAGGTTCCACGGGGGGAGCATGATCGGTTAACAATGTTGGCTTAGATATCGCTAAGACTAGAAACAGGCTAGACAGCTTTTCAAGGGCTCTATGATTTGGCCGGCATTTAGCTAGGCTTGTTTTAAAAAACGAAGTAGGTCTAAGCCTATTCAACTTAACAGGCTATGTTTAGGCTCTTTAAGAAGTCTATTAAGCCTATTAGGCAAGGCTGAGCCTATTATAAATTTATAATTATGATATATGAAAAAATTAGTTAATGATACTATTATTAATGTGCACCTTTAATTTACTTTTTAATTTTAATATACAGTAAATGACTTAATGCTTCCTTGGATTTTGAAGTTTAGTTGACAAGTGAAGATAAAAATATAATTTAAAATA